GCATTCCTGTGTACAGATTTGGGCCAGTGTAAGTACCACCCTGAAGCGGTTGTGTATCCTGGCATTGGGGCAGATCATAGATGGCACGGCATTGGTCTTTACCCCTGCTGCAACCAGAAAGTCCTAAGATTTGATCCCTCCTCCATGCCCAAGGTTTATGTTGTTGCATTAGAATATGTTTTCTTAAACTCAGATGACCTTTGAACTTGTCTGACTTTTCACCATGAATGCCTGTGTATGTCTGTGTAGGGCTGTAAAATAAGAGACCACATTGTGAGTGCGGCAGATGGTGGTGACTGCAGCGATCACAATGTAAACTCAACCCAGACCAGAATACTCAATGACCTGCTTCTACACAGAGAGGCTGTGTGTGTGCCAGAGAGGTCAGACTATAGTAACTTCCTTCAGAAAAAAACATGATTGGTTCTCTGTTGCATGCCATGTTTGATTAGCTTGATGCTTTGCCTAGTGTCATGTTCGGGTCTTTTGACTATGTTTTATGCTCTAATCCATTTTGTTTAGCTGTAGCTCTGACGATGCTTCTGCAGGTAGTGAACGTGTGCCAGGATGTGATGTAATGCTGGAGCCAGAGGTGCTTACAGCTCACAGACCCAAGGAAACCACAGCTGTGAGTCTATCAGATTGATTATTTTTGTTTTCTTTTTGTTTATTTATTTTTAACTTTTTTTTTTCTTTTTTTATGCAACCATCAACAACATACACTACCGGTCAAATGTTTGCCATTTAAAAGAATAGTTTTTCTTTTTACAAACAAGTAAAAATGATTACAGTCTTCAGTGTCACATCATCCTTCAGAAATCATTCTAATATGCTGAATTTGGTGCTCAAGGTACATTTCCTATTATCAGTTTCAAAAACAGTTATTTTAAATTGCAATAATATTTCACAATATTACTGTTTTACTTTTTCAAATAATTGCAGCCTTGGTAAGCAGAAGAGACTTCTTTCAAACACATTAAAAATCTTAATTCGCTACACCTGTACAAACAGAAAAAACAAAGAGTTTAAAATAAGTTTATAATAAAGTTTAAAATAAGAAACAAAGTCACATTGTGAAGTATAAAGATGAAACTGTAAGATAGTTTCTTGCTACTGCAACTTTATCTAAAATTCCAACTATAAATTCCATATAATTTCCCATTGTGAAATAGTCACAAGAAATGTATTCGCAATTGTGAGATAGTTTAAAATAAGAAATAAAGTTACATTGTGAGATATAAAGTTGCAATTGTAAGCAATTGAAATAGTTGCATTATGACAAATTCACACTGTGAGATCACAGCTACAAGAAATACATTCGCTATTGTGAGATAAATTTACATTATTATAAATACAAATTTTAAGATATAAATTAAGCCATAATTGTGAGATATTAAGTAAGTTAAGTTTTTTTTTTTGTGTCCGCAGTGGTGGTATCTGACTTTCGTTTATTGTGATGAATGCATCGGTTTATTGTTTATCTAAATTTGTTTGTCCAAGCTCAAATTATGACAGCACCTTTTTTCCTTCTCTTGCAGTTTTCACTGTTAAAAAACTGGAGTCTTCAGCTGGTAAGAAGCAAGTTTCTCAAATATTAAATGCAACACCATTAGTTTTTTTTATTCTCAGTTTTTTTATGTCTGTGTGTTGTGATGGTGTGTGCTTGTTTTGTTGATTGTATGGTTTATTGCTGGCTGTGAAACAATTAATAATAAATAATAGGGATAATAAAGTTGACCCTATTATATACCTACACTGAAAAACACATCTCAGATGTTGCTTTGACCTTTTGCAGCGGCAGCAGTCTCCGCTGTCTGAAGATGAGGAGTACACTACAGGGTCAGAGGTCACAGAGGATGAGATCGGGGATGAAGAAGACACATCAAAAAAACAAGGTGGACTAAAATGTTACACATTAGTAAAAAATCACCAGATAATCTTTGATATGCAATACCTCATTACGGTCAAAAGGTGGCAGTCGGGTACAATTTCAACGAGACTGACCTTAAAGCTGGGTTTGTGACTTTGTGTAAATAGCTGCAAAGAAGGCAAGAAAATCTGGAAAACCTTTGAAAAGACAAGTGTCTTCCCCCAGTTTCCAGCGTAAGGAGAGATCTGGAGAAAAGGTGAGTTTAACATATTCATTTGCGCATTTCACAAATTCATCTGTGCTTGTGTATGTCACTTTTCTCTATTCATTTGTCCTATCCTGTTGTTTTAAAGGCACCATCTCGAGACTCAACCCCGTTCATGTGAGTGATTCTAAGACTTGCTGTTTTCTGTAGAAGAATTATGTGGCAAATTTTAAGGGATAGTTCACCCAAAAATGAAAAACTCTCATGTTGTTCTTTCTTCTTTGGAAATCAAAAGAAGATGTTGTTTTGAACCCCCTTTAGTTATACTGACAAAAACAGTTGAAAGATTTTTTTTTTTTTGTTCTTTGGTGTTTTACCAAAGAAATAATTCATAAGTTTGAAATGACATGAGGGTGGGTAAATGATGACAGCATTTAAATTTTGGGGTGAACTATCACTTTAAAATACAAGAACTTTTATTGAAGACCAAAGTCTACAGTTTATATGCTGTAGTATTGCTTTACTGTTTTTATTTAATGCACTTGTTTGCAGTTTTAATTTACCTAATTCCGAAGACTGTTAATAATCTCAGTTGTAGATTCTTTTAATCACTGTATTGTAATGCTTTCTCATGCCTCTCATGTGATTGAGAAGGGATTTCTACGCTTCTGAATGAGACATTTTTTTCTTTCTTTGTCCTTCTTTTGCTCTTAGCGTAAGCATCCAGAAGAATAAGTGGGATAGCAATCGCTCCATGAGGTACAATCAGGACGCACAGAGGGAGGAGGGTAGGTACCTTTTTCAGATCCTCTGACTCTAACAAAGATCCTCAAAATTGCACAGTGGTAGAGCAAGTCTTATAATAAAAAATGTTGTGATTTAAAACCACTTGAAAACCCTAGAAAATCTCATCAGAGAAAGTTAAATCCAGCCATCAGCATGTACATCTGTCAACTCTTTAGAAGACTAAATCACTGTTTTTGTTTTATAAACACTTTTGTATTCAAAATAGGATTATTAAATGATTTATAATGTAATTAATCAATGGTATGAAATAATTTAGAGGCATTTTTGGCTGTGCTTCTGACAGCTGAAGCTTTCAAGTAGATTATGTGTAGATTTGCAGTGATCTTGATGGATGTCTATGCGTTCAAACTCACTCTAGATCAGAGGAGAATGGAGGAGATAATAGCCAATCTCACTAAAATGCGCTTTGGTGACCAAGAGCAGACGAAGTTTAAAGACAAAAAAGAGGTACAAAATATCTTTACTCTCTTTGATAAACCTGCTAAAGCACCATTAAGTACATGTTTTCACATGCATGTTCTGATTTATTACTATCTTTTACAGCAGTAGTCCAAAATTGTACTCTAGTATTTTGCACCCATGTGTGTTTGTGTGGTTCCAGCCTGCAGGAGGGCTCTACTCGAGGCTGGAGGCCCAGTTTAAGGCCTCGTCTCAGTCCAGCGGAAGACACAGCAGCTCAGAGAAAACTCTAAGGTACCCCAGTCACCTAGCACTGAAGACACTGCACAGACAAGCAAAACGAGTGAAAGTGTTCCAAATGATGTTTCATGATTTTAATCATGCGATTTAGAAGGATTAGGAACATGTTTGTTTTAGCGCTAAACTGGCTTGTCTACTCTTGTCAGGCAAATTTAAAGGAATAGTTCACCCAAAAATGAAAAACATGTTCTTTCTTCTGTGGATATTTTGATCCATATAGTGAAAGTCAATGGGGTCTAGTGTTATTTTGGACCCCACTGACTTTCATTGTACAGACATAAAAAGTTGTAAATTCTTCAAAATATTGTCTTTTGATAGAAAGTCATTCAGGTTTGGAACAACATGAGTGTGAGTAAATGATGACAAAATATTTTTAGGTCTACTGTTTATATAAAATTGCTTTACTTTTTAATATACTTGCTTGCAGCTTTAATTTGACCTTTTTACTTACTCCCTTTCTCTTATTCTCAGTTCCATATTTAACCAGCACTTTGGTCTTTTTTTAGAGCGAAGACGCGCTCAGGGCCGTCAAGACCGACTTAGAGAAAATGTGTAAATAAGTGGATGAGTTTTTGAAAAGGAGGAGTAAACGAGGTTGCTGCTGTTTGACGAGGCAGAAGAACCAATCACTCTCTTCGCCCATCCTTTACTCCACTCCTCACCCCCTCCTCCAAACTCCGTCCAGTTACAGCAGGAATAGCATTAGAGTCTTTTCCATCACAATCCCGGGAGAAGAATGGATTGCTGGTGTGTTCACTGATGTCATAACTGTAGCTATAGAACATAAACAATGGACCTAATAAAATCAGTTGCACTGTAAACAATACATGCTTTTGGCTGCTAATGAATTGGTTGCACCCACTAAAAAAATCTGTGTTACACTAGTACCATTTAAGTTTATTTTGCACCTTTTTCCTTTATCTCATCTCATGTCTAGCTCAGGATTCATCCCAGCTGCAGTGTGTTGTAATGTCCCTGCTTCATTCTAGTGGACTCAGGTGACCAGACAAAGCTCATCTCTGTGGTACTGACCCTGCACTTTAAGTCGTCTTAATGCAATGACTCAAACCTGTATAATACACAAAGAAGCCACTGGGTAAAGAGTCATGCTGACGACTAATACCTATGAGGTCCATGATTATGTTGCACTGAAACTATCACAACTGTGCCATTTGGCCCAATGTGACGTGGGGTAGAATACAGAATCAGTAGAATAAAAATCATTTTAAATAAACCTGTGTCTTTTTTACTGCTGTAGAATTATTTTAAGTTACAAGATACAAATGAGTTATTTCTTGGCCTTTGATTTGGAAAATTTAAGTCTGTAAATACACAGTCCTTTTTCACACAATTACTTCATGGTCTGGTTTCACAGACAGGACTTAGGTTAAGCCAGGATTAGGCCACAGTTCGATTAGGACATTTAAGTATCTTTTATAAATGTACCTTAGAAAAAAACATTACTGGTGAGCATCTTGAGAATCAATAACAAGTTTCTTTCAGTTAAAACATCCCAGACATGCATTTTAGACTGAGACGAGGCTTAAGCCTTGTCTGAAACCGGGGGCATGTGTTTAAAAAAAGCAAGGTATTACTGATCAGTCAGCCATATCATTGAGGAGGATTTCCAGCACAACTGTCACCATGACAACAGGAAAGGGAAGTAGAATGTTCTGCATGTGTGGGGGGAGGCGGGGGAGCTTCGATGAGCTGGTCTGCCTTTTTTGGTGACGGTGTTTGATTGAGCTCAGGCAGGTTGGGTTGCAGTACTAGGCCACCTGCCAGCCAAGAACACAAATGATCATGTGTTAATTCCCTCTGCTGGTGGGAAATAGATCCATCATAACCCCACCATTCAACAGATATCTCTCTTTCCAAGAGTCGTCTCTCTCTTACTCTGAAAAGTTGACAGTTCTGAGGAAGCAGACCAAGCAGTTCTAAATAATACTCAAAACAATTATTACTGGATTTTCTTTACTTGCCATTTTATTATTAAACTACCAGTTTATTTCCATCCGTGTTTTCAACACTTTAAAAAACAATAGTTATATGTACACTACCGTTCAAAAGTTTGGGGTCAATGATTTTTTAAAAATGCTTATGAGTCTCTTATGCTCAACAAGGCTGCATTTATTTAATTGAAAATACAGTAATTTATTCCTGTGATGTATAGGTGAATTTTTACATGTCTTCAGTGTCACGTTATCCTTCAGAAACCATTCTGATATGCTGATTTGGTGCTCAAGAAACATTCTTTTTTTATTATCATCATAGTTGTGCACATTTTCAGTGTGTCATGGAGATTCTTAATTTATTTTTAAGCATCCAGATGGAAAATGTCAAGCTGTAATAAAAATTCTAAAGGTGACAGGAATCTGAGCTAATCAGATTGGTTATAAGGAACAGAAAGAGCAGCAATTCAGCAGAGCGAGGGTAAAGGTGGACGGACAGTAGCTGCCCTCATTCCCTCAGTACTTGGTCAAAGGTCATATCCTCGTCATTCAATGCTCTTTTGTCTATTGTTATTTATTTGTAACAAATGCTTTGCTGGCATTGGTGTTGTGCAGTTGTTTAGAATGGCATGGATTTGTTTTCTTTAAAGAATGAAAGCACTATGCTAACCATTTTGGATGAAATGTACATCTCCCTATTCCTAAAATACACATAAAATGGTGGATTTCTTTAAAGCTAAATATATCACATTGTCACTATAAACTATTTGTTGAAATTAAACATTACTTCACCGGTTAGCTATCAGTCACATGCATAGAGGAAAGCCACAAAATAATTTCTAGATCAAGGTAATATAATTTATTACTACTGTTTTGGTTTGTACTATTGTCACTAGAGGGAGCTGTTTGTATCGAACATTATCCTCTTGAAGCCAAACTTATTGTGCAGTGAGGCCTCCCTCATTGTCTGTGTTATTGTCATAAAGTTCACCTCTCTCAAGAAGGACAGTATGGCAAGCCGTTTTAGCTTATAATAAATAATGTCGCAATTGAATTTCCCCCCCCTAACGTCTGACCAAAAAAAAAAGAGAAAAATAAATTTTAAAACACATTTTTATTTTGAAATGTATCATCACCACAGGCGTGATTTGGAAAGGCAAATGGGTGTAATCGCAAATCTGTTTTGCATCTAATGAATACAAGTTTTTACTAGTAAGAATACAATTGTAGAGCTCTGTAACTAGATTTCTTACTAGTAATAATTTAATTAGAGCTCTGTAATTGCATTTTTACTAGTAAGAACTGAATTAGAGAGCTCTCTAATTGGTATTGTTACTAGTAAGAATTGAATTGTAGAGCTCTCTAATTTAATTCTTACTAGTAAGAATGTAATTGCAGAGATCTCTAATTCAATTAGAGAGCTCTATTATCATAATTGTTACTAGTAAGAACTGAATTAAAGAGCACTCAGACTGTATTTATAACTAGTTAAAATTGATTTAGAGAGCTCTCTAATTGGCATTGTTACTAGTAAGCATTTAATTGTAGAGCTCTCTAATTTAATTGTTACTAGTAAAAATGCAATTACGACGAGTAACGCTTGGAATATTTTAAGCTAAAACGGCTTGCCATAGGACAGAGCTATTTATAGTGACCACCATTAGGAAGACACTCCTGCAAATAGCCCAAGCTACAACAAATAGCTTATAATGATTTATTGTACATTGCACAACTTAAATAAGCCAACACATTATTGCAAATAACTAGAATATTCATGCAAGTTTTATATTTTAATGTGGATATGCATCAAATGACATTAGCAATGCTCCATGCTTCATGAATATATGATAATAATAATAATCAAATAGATAAATCATTTAATAATAATTATAATAATACTAATAGTAGTAAAGGACATACATACAAAACGTACAAGGACATACAAAAAATAATCACTATTAAATGAAAAATGTAATTTAGGCAGGATTCATAGTTTATGAGAAGTATATAATCTTAATAACAAGACAACTGTCAAACTTGTTTGAGTGACAGGGGAGGAGCAGGTGATGTCATTATATGTAAATGGAAAGGCAGGACCAGATATAAAGGGCTTAAGACAGCCCAATCCTGAACAGAGCAGCCCACCTCATTTCACATGTATGTGCCACAATGCACGTGCACTGCTTCTCTCCTCTACCCCTCCTACTGCTCACTTAAGAGCAAGATAACCTCTTTCGGTCATCCCCGTGACCCTGTTAACTTTCAGACCCTCTGTATTTGTTGATTAATGACATACTTTAATAGAGGAAACATGTAAGGTTTTGCAAGTGTCAACAAAAATGCATTCGGTCCCTTAGTAAATATGCATGATCTGGACAATGCAATAAACAAAACCAGACGTCCAGATAAGTTTCAATGGTTTATTGTATTTCTCAAAATAATTCAAAACAGACAACAAAGAAAGGAAGAATGTCGAGTTTTCTGTTACACAAAGTGAAGTCATAGCCTAAAATAAGAGCACATTTGCTGATTGCCGTTTTAAAGCAGTTCCAATGTTTAATTTTGGGGTTTCAACTCACACAAACATGTCTCTCAAATTATGACCTGTGCAAAAACATTTTAACAAAACAAAAACATATTATTCAGCTCATACTGGTCAGGAAACAATTTGTGAAGTATTATCTAAAAGATATGAAGACGCACCCACTCTCTGTTCATTAAATACTAATTATTTTATCATAAAACCTGCAGTACAGTATTCAACATTGAACATTTCGAAAAAAAAAAAAAAAAAAAACCTGGAACATCATCCTTCTTGGCATTCAGAGAATTTTGCCTGTGATTCCTGGAAAGCAGGTTGACCTGTATTCTAGAAACTTCAGTTGTGGCACTGACTTTACTCGCAGTCAGGTAAACATGAACACCTACCATTTATTTACTCCTCATCTCACTTATCTCAGCTTCCAAAGTTTACAGTGGCGTGGGACCTACATGTAATAAAAGATAAAAAAGGAGTAAATATGGATCTGATTCACACAACAGCTGATTATCAAATTATGTCTGGACCCATTAAAATCACAAAATGCAATGCTAGTGTCTGTTCAAGAATAAACCTAAAGACCGGCATTTGGATTAAAGGATCACCTTCACTGGAAGTGAGATCAGTTTGTTGGTTAAGGCTGAGCATATAATTTATTTAAATTACTGGTCTAAACTGCTGTAACACTGCTTATTTAGTTAACCATTTTAAAAGGTGTGTAGAATGAGCCACATGCTGGACTATAGGGAAATACTGTATCAGATATTCAACATGTAGTGCACACCATGACCTTATGAAATGTAAGTTTTATGAAAAATGCATAAGCGTAAATTACTTCTTGATTTCAGGGCAATGTATTCTTTTTCCCCATTCTTTGTTCAGTACAGACACTGCACTAGTTTGCTCACACAAAATCCAGTATTTTTCCATCAACTGACGTTTAAGTTGCGTTGCGTCACGTGACTTGCAAAGGGAGATGAGAGAGGGAACATGGGAGCGTTTGATGTCCCTGTGAAGCGCCACACTGCCGGTTTATTATGTTTTCGAGTGATTCGATGTGTTTATCATATATCACTGCCATATTGGAGTTAACTTCGCGATAGTTAAGTTTACGGAGACCATCACAAGCCAACTGTATCAGGCTCTGATCCATGCCATGCGTATCATACCCTGACTCTGAACAACCACTCCCCTTCGTGGCTCGTGGAAAATTACCAGCTTACAATCAGCACAAGTATCGTACAGGCTCCAACATCCGCCTCACGGACCCGATGCCCTCAATCTCCTTCAGTCCACCGTCAAATTAATTTTCCGAACATGTACACAATTACCAAGCGATCGCTGTTGTTGAATATCAAAAAACTGTATATTTAAAGCACACGGAAATTTTAAAAAGTGGGTGTTTTTCGGAAGAGTCGCGCAAAATACATAATTCGGAACTTGCATTTCCCTAAAAAAGCAACAAACAAATAATACGCGATCATAATATTATCTCAAATTACAAGTCCGTTCTGCACGCAGTTTGCCTTCTTTTTCTCTAAACGGGCGGAGCAGTCGCGTGGGCACTCGAAAGAGTTGAGATTGATTGACGTGCGCGCCATCCAATGGATCGCGAGCAGGGACGCGCTTAGCAACGCTGCGCCCAATGGCACACCTCCATGGGCGTGACGTTAATCCAAACTTTTCGCGGCGCCATCGGCTGAAAACTAAACCGAGATGGAATCTCCCAGTCTGAACCGGTTTCAACCGGTTACGAGTTTGTTGCTTGTGAGAAGAAGAGACACAGGCTCAGTCTCTAATACCGCCCTGGTGCAAAATATACTTCAGTACAGAGCACACTTCTTAATTAAGGTTAACTTTGTTTCGTAACATGAACCGGACTGAGAAAATACTGAACTCGCCGTGATTGTTGGTGCGGAATTCACATCCTAGTGGTCTTTAAATCAAGCTACTAGCTTGTGTAGTCTTCACAGAGGAATAGTGTGGCTGGCCAGTCAACGGCTCATTCTAAAGCTATTTTACCAGAAAGCGTGTACAAAAACCAGGCACCAACGATACTGGATCAAATAAACATAATTTTAGCAACTCTGGCAGACAAGCCCACCTTCTTTCTCTCAAAGGCTTGGACTTTAGGTAGGTAAATAAATATGGGGTGAAACTTACAGCTAGAGTGCTTGGGTTGGTTTGTGCTTTGTGGAGAATGATAATGCTGTGAGATTGTGTAGAAATGCCTAGAAACTGCACGTATGGAGGTTAAGGTCGAGAGAAAGTGAAATGGCTTTGCTGCTGAGGGTTTACGAGGCATGTTGCGTGATGGCTCGTGTTCAGCACTGGTGTCACGCTGGACTAAATAATGTATCTGGGTTTTTGTTCGTTTTAACAATCGTTATATCTCACGTAACATCAAAACAGTCACAAATACAAAACGAGCTACTAGGCGCTAACCATTAGCGCGGTCCCAGATTATGTTGTTTCAGGAAGCAAATTTCAACTGTAAAATGCATTCAGGACAATTGCAGAGCTGTAGCATTCATTTGACGTATTTACGGCAAATAAAAATACACGCGGTCTATTTCTTACCTGGTTTACTGCTATTAAAGCCTGCAGAGCGTTCAGGTGTAGGGTGCAGAGCATGCTGTTGGTGGGAGGGGTTGCTCCGGAGTCAGGGAGGGAGATCCTTGCAAAGTCACCCTCGTTGAAGTCATCTGAGACGGGTGTAGACCGCCAGAGAAACACCGATGTTTGTTATGGACGAGGCGCTCGCTGGAACGTTTTTAATGTCAGTTGCGCACTAAAGCATTTGTTTTGCTGTCCATTTAAGCGCATTAGTATGATAGCATGCATGCGTAATTGTTGCCACCGTAAGTAAAGCGATGCATTATTAGGAATTTTAACGCATAAACGTTGCCAAACAACTGCTGTAGAGAACAGCGATCGCATCAGTAGTGAAAGTTGTTGCGCTCCTCAGCGTGGATCTTAGTCCAACCCAGTTGTGTTTTGAAGACGTGTGCATGAAATCAGCTCATAAGTAGCTCTGTGTTGGGATACAGATCCTATTGTGGCCATTGCTTACTGAATCAAACCAGGTGAGGTGTGGAAAAGGCGGGTAAATCAACAGGTTGCGCAGTACCGAGGACTAGTTATGGCACCGTCGCTTTATTTAGGCCTGAGAGACTCGTGGTCTCACAAAGCTTTACTGTGTCGTGTCCAAGCAAATTCTTGAAATTTCCTCCAATGCCAAACTTTTTTGTCTGGATTCTTGGCCGTAATGCTTACCTCGTTACGCAATAGTTTGGCTCCGTGGTGCAAATTGAATTAACTTGAGCATTGGCCTTTCGAGTGTCATTCAAACTGTGTGTAAACATTATTGAAGTCTTATAAAAGTTCGATACGAGTAGAAAAAAACAATTCATAAGTCAGAGAGCTCGGTACGTCTCTTGTGTTATATGTAAACAGAATGACGTCAGCGAGAGGGCTGCCTAGCACGTGGTCTCATTCAGAGAATAATGACGAGCCCAGTGAGTGGTCCTTGTTTCTCGGACATATTAGGATATTCATTCTGCAAGCATGTTACCTTTGTCGCGCCGCCCACCTATACCATTGTTATTGAGGATTAAATCCTCCAGCAGGCATTGGTGAGTTGGCAGGCCAGGTCATATAAGGCTTTTTGGATCGAGGGTCGAGGGAGGGGGGTAATGGTCAGCTGTTTGGATTTGTGTACCCAAATGTTAATTTCACTTGACTTTGCCCCTGCTGGATGTTTCCTCACTGTCCCCCACAGAGCTCTATGCCAGCAATTATGACAATGTTAGCCGACCATGCAGCCAGACAGCTGCTGGACTTTAACCAGAAACTGGATATCAACCTGCTGGATAATGTGGTCAACTGTCTGTACCATGGGGTTGGGCCACAGGTAAGTAAGACTTTTACAAAAAACAAAAAAAACAAAGACAGAAAAAAATCAGCAAGGACCAATTACATCAAAATTCATAAAATCACCAGATTCATCAAAAGTGACAATAAATAAGACATGTTACAAAAGATTTCAACTTCACAGAATACTGAAAAAAAAAAATATGGATACAAAAATCAGGGTTTCCATGGGTCTTAAAGTCTTAAGAAGTCTTAAATTTAGTTGTATCAAATTTAAGGCCTTAAAAAGTCTTAAATTGTACAAGAAAGTCTTAATTATGATTTCAATTTGAGGACGGAAAGACCAGAATTGCGATATGGCTGAATGTGACGATTAAACTTCAAAAGGCTATGATTTCATTAAATAAACGAGCGCTGCACGTTCAAAGTCCGGTGCTGCGCTGCTTTGTGTACTGCAGATACTGGGGAAACAGTTATATTTCTACCAAACGCTCCACCTGCTCTAAGAATGAATGAGCATTTTCAATAAAACCGTTGTTTTGTTCAGAGTTCAGACCAATGCAAAAATCGACCCATGTTTTTACCCTGCAAACACGCAGAGCTTTAAATATGAACTGGTGGATCGATAAGAAGACAATGCATTCTAAAAATCTAAACTGTATAGGGGTGTGTGATATGTATGGTCTGCGATAATATCGTAATTGTTGTTTTAAGGATGTGCGATTTGATATTATCGAGTATATCGCGAAAAGCAAACAAGACGCCTACAGTATGCGCGCATACATTACGTGATGAAGTCTAGCAGGTTAGACTAGTAAGTGCGCATGCGCAATTATAGTGTGTTCTTTCACTAAACAGTCTATTAAAATGCATTTAGAATTATCACATAATTCAAGATATGGGGCAGAAAATGTATGTATTTATATAATTTCATATAGTTAATATCACACGAAGAGTGCCGTTTTTTCTCCAAAAGTCAGCATGATTACAAATGATATTGATTTTATACAACAGTTCAATAAACAAGAAGTTAATATTAAGAGACTTACGTTTTAGACACCATATTTCTTGAATAAAAATCATTTCAAACACAGCCACAGAGCTGTTTTGCGTCTCTGAGCAACACGACAGTGTTTCATTCCTGAATGAATCAACCGTTTAAATGATTCAGTTCAATCGCAATGACTCACTTATTAACAGTGACTTGCTGCCACCTACTGGCAGTTTTAATTTCACATTTAAGGTACCTTTTAATTTTTTAAATAATTTCAAACATCAGTTTTCAATGTTTTATGTTTAAAATTAAAAAAAAAAAATGTATGCATTTGTAACTGCTGGTTAAAGTATTCCATGCCCCTCAGAGCTGCATTAAACAGTGTGTATATGCATCTAAATGACACTTCTTACCTAGTCATTTAGCAGACGCTTTTATCCAAAGCGACTTACAAATGAGGACAATAAAAGAGCTGCATTAAACAGTGTGTATACATCTAAATGCCACTTCTAATGCCGCTTCTGTGTTTCCTTTGCATTGCAAAGATACATTTTGTTGATACTGATTTAATTTGCTTGGTAACAGCCCAAATGCAAGAATTTGACTCAAAAGATGGTGCACACTTTTAGAAAAAATGGCTTAAAGGTAAAAATGCCCATAAAACTAATTGGAAATTATTAATTTCTATCACTGCTGTGAACGGACCACACAGAATATGCAGAATATAAAAAAAATCAGGAGTCAGCTGTCAGCACAATTAGAGATAAGATATCAGCACAATAACACATTCTATAGCAAAATATTGTCTAATTATCGTTATCAATAAAATCCAAGAAAATTGAGATATCATTTTTTGTCAATATTGCACACCCCTAATTTATTATTTAATTTATATAATAATTTATTGATAATAATTGTTTAAATTAATATAATAATTAATACTTTTGATCCATTTTCTTAACAATGGTTTAAAGGCTGAAATGTAAAGTAAACGTTTTGTTTTTGTGAAAACGTGTATCTGAACTGTAAATTATGCTTTTTACAGTAATTTTACAGTTTAATATGGTACTATAGACATTGCCCTACCCCGCTCATATGGTATTAACTTTATTTGTGCAGGTCTTAAAAAGGTCTTAAATTTGAGCTTAAAAATCCTGCAGAAACACTGAAAAATATTAAGCAGCACAAGCAGCATTTTAACATTGATAATAACAAGAACTTTTTCTATATATGTATATGTGTATTCATACACTAGTGTAAGCATTGTCATCATTAATACATAGCCACTTTTTTGTTGTTGTTGTTTTATAGTGTAAGTTAAGACAAATTATTCTCTGTTTTAGCAAAGAATGGCCCAGGAGGTGCTGACTCATTTGAAGGAGCACCCAGATGCGTGGACACGTGTTGACACTATTCTGGAGTTCTCTCAGAATATGAACACCAAAGTAAGCCGAGTCACAAGTCTCTCCGGTGGAGGGTCATGGATTCTATACTTTGAGGAAGATCTGATCTCTTTTCACACATTATACAGGAACACAATTTTGTTTTCTTTTCCTTCAAACCAGCAATACCCGATTCCTTAAGTGTATTGGGGTTGCCTAGCATCATGTCAAAAACAGATTCCTCTGTACACATGTGAGATCACATTTTCCTACACCTCTCCTTAAACCCTCTCCTGGTCAAGCAAAGTCATAGTTAAAGTTGGCGTGTGAGGATCCTCAGTTGACCGTGAAATACCTCAGCATCTCCATCTGTACAGCAGCCAGAGGTGTGTTAATGACTGACTGTTTAGAGTCAAGATATATAAAACATCTGATCCATGTGATCCAAGTTCTTATCCATGGTTTTCTATCTAGCCGGTCCCGTGATTAGTAGTAAATCTCCATCACCTGCTTTCAGATTGAGTGGCATTCACGCAGAGCCGTAGTTCACTGACAATTAGGCAATATCGCATTCATAATCGCAGATGAATCGCATTCGATTATGAACGGGATATCGCCTAGCTTGTCAGTGAACTACGGCTCTGTGTATTAAATGCCGCACCATCTGAAAGCAGGTGATGGCGATTTACTACCAATCACGGAACCAGCTTTACTGACGAGATGTGCATGACAATCGCATGCGATTAATTGCACAGCCTTAATATCAACGTAGTGTATTTGTTCACTTTGTAGTGTGTAGACTGAATGTAAATCATTTAGTATTATTTGGGATGAATTGTCTTCCTCAGTGTGTTAACAGACTTCCTCAAAGTACTGCTGACCGAGTTTGCCGTCTGCTTGCCTTTTACGATTGCTCTTAACACTCTGGTCAATACTAATTATTGAGTTGGTTTATCAACAGTATCTGTAATATCAAAATGATAATGGCCCAAAAGTGAGGGCTCTAGAAGAACAGACAGGAAAATATACAGAGCAGGTAAATTATTTGAATTTGTCTAAATTCATCAAGCAAAATACAGAAAGAGCGCATTAAAGCGCTTGTGAACATTTGGCTTTTTGCTTAATTTATTTACAGCCTTTTTGTAGGAGAAAAAGCAAACAAAAGACAATTAATTGAAGTTGTTCATATTTGATATTAATCACAATGTTCCATTATGTTGATTGCTTGTAATAGGACGAAAAGGGGTGTGTCTTCCTGTGCACCTTGACACAGCTAGGCTTTGGCGGCAGGCCTCCACAAGGTCTACCTTTTCATTCCCTTACTCTCAATTCTGCTGTGCCTCCATTCACACTGCACATGCTTCATATGGAGCTCAGAGACGGCAGGGAGATAGGCAGACAGTTTACCCCCTTTTTTTAACCTCAGTTATGGATAGTAACAGTTATTTCCACTGTAGGGATCATCAGTGTCTCTGTGTGCTGTGATTCCCTTTTTTTACCCCAAGCATTTCTCCTCTACACTAGCCTACCCTATTTTCCTGTCTCGATCGTACACCAAGAAATATTGCAACATCACATGTGAGCTATAAAGACTTGATGCTTTGCGTAGTGTTGCAATGTTTTTCTGTCTTGCCTATTTATTTTATTTTATAAAAAAGTTTAAATGTGTTAATCTATGAAAAATTAAAGGTGAAAGGATCTTGGTGATTTTTTACAGGGTTAAATGTGTCCTTATGCAAGTAACCTACTTCTCCAGGCGTCACCTTTAATATCCTCACTCAGTATGTGACCTGTATTCCCTGTTTTACTTTAACACATTAACTTTTAGCATCACATTTTTCCTCTTTTCTCATTAATCCCTACAGTTGAAATGCTGTTAATCCAAATAATACTAGTGACCATAACAAGAACACTAATGCACCATGAATACCCTTTTAAAAGCAGTGTATAAAACATCTTAAGGCAGTCTATAGAACCAATCCTGTGGCTGGTCTTGCTGTTCCTGAGACCCACACCAGTTACTGGTGGAAACAGTAGTGTCACATAAAGACAGAAAGGGATGTGGTCTTTATTTGACCAACAGGAAAACATAACTGATGATTAAAGCCTTGAGAGTGGCTATTGACTCTTAAAAGAATCCTTCGGTTTGGTTTGTTTTCATACACAGTTGTTGCGTCGCTCCCCCAAGCTGCTTGCTTTGTTGTGGCCAGGCACAGAATCAAACCATTAGCTGTTTGCCATTAATGTCTCCTTTCCTGTCTTTCACATTCTGGTGTGACATGGCCAGAAACAGCAAAACTTCTACAGAATCCCATACAAACATTGTGTAGAGTTTTGATGGGGGATTATGGATTTATTATAATTTTTTTGGTTCTGTTTTTGAGTTTATAATAAAATTCTTACTGAAGTCAAATCTGCATGTTTTTTTTTTCAATCTGAATTCATTTGGAATAAACCAAAGTATGTGTGAAAATATATTAGGCAGTCAAAGTTAAGAGCAATTTTTTTGTTGTGTAGGTACAGCTCTGGTAGATTGGCTGGTCAATGTTTGGATCATTAACTCTTGATTTGTTCTCTTGGCATTACAGTACTATGCTCTGCAGATTCTGGAAACCGTTATTAAAACAAGATGGAAGATTCTGCCCAGAAACCAGTGTGAAGGTAAGACTGACTCACAAGAATTCCCCTCACCACATTGAGATGAACAAGTAATTCATAGCTCAGTCTAAATCAATTCTTAAGTCATAAGCAGCTCAAAGGCTGGATTTGGACATGCAGTGAAGGGATCATTGAAATGTAGAAGCAAACATTTCACTCTGCGATGGACTTGACTCTACAAAACATTTCTAGCAGGCCAACACATTCATTAGAATCAAGTGTGTAATTGCCAAGTTGAGCTGAATTCCCCTTTTAAAAATGCATGGTTGTCGTCTGCTCAACTTAGTGTTCATCTGTTTAGGAAAAAAAAAAACAGAATCTGTTCTCTGAAAGATCGCATGACATGAAAAACATGATGTAAGCTTTTATAATTGCTAATAAATCAACACTTTCTGTGCCGTACAATATTGATGTCTCAACAACATCCAAAACATGTCTCTGTATGAGCTGTCAGTCTGCACCCAGCCAAATGAATAAGCGAGGTATTATTTAAAGAAAATAATGCAAATAGTATGGTATAACATTAATTTCATTATTTAATTTTAATTTCTCAGGTTCAAATATTTTTATTAAAATTTGTTAAATTAAGCAGTATTTGATATTCATTCAACAGACATTTCATTGCATCATTCACTTTAAAACATTTAACACTTACATTTTAATTTCAAGTTGTGTTTTTGTTTCTTTGAATGTGAAAAAGGCAGCGAATCTTTAATATGCTGATGCAGATCTGCAGATGAACAGACAGTAACAATTCCTCTGAGACGAGCTGCTTTCATCCAGATGGGGAGCTCATGGGGTTTTATGCTGCTTTACTGTATGCATTGAGGCTCTTCACTGCTCTGCTTTATTTCAGGCATTAAAAAGTATGTTGTGGGCCTCATTATCAAGACATCATCAGATGCAGCCAATGTTGAGGTCAGTGAACTTGCACTTATTTTGTTTACCGTATTCCTGTGGTTTCTGTCCTGCTGTCTGTTTTATGCTATACTCTGCCTCTTTTCAGAAAGAGAAAGTGTATATTGGAAAACTCAACATGATATTAGTACAGGTGAGGTTTGTTTGACTGTTTTTTTTCTTAGTAGATTAGAGATACATAGCCACAGGTTTACAAATAGCAGTAAATGTCACAAAACATGATGATGTGTGTGTGTGTGTATTTGATGACTGCAATGAAAATGTCTGTTACCTTCCTTCAGGTTTGTGTAATGTTACTTGCTGTTTTTGTGTTTAGATCCTGAAGCAGGAGTGGCCGAAACACTGGCCCACATTTATCAGTGACATTGTTGGAGCGAGCCGCACCAGTGAGAGCCTTTGCCAGAACAATATGATTATTCTCAAGCTCCTCAGTGAGGAGGTGTTTGACTTCTCCAGTGGCCAGATGACACAAGTGAAAGCCAAACACCTGAAGGACAGGTATGATGGCATTAAAAGATAATTAATTTATGGTTGAGAATGAGGTAGTATGTACATTATTTGTTCTTGTTAATTAATCCGTATTGTTTTGTGATCTGGTTTCCATCCGCAGCATGTGCAATGAGTTCTCCCAGATATTCCAGTTGTGCCAGTTTGTGATGGTATGTGTTGTTTTCATACATAAACACCTATATTCTAAATGTTCTTGTTAAGGCACTGATTCTCAAAATGTTGTTCCACTAGTGGTACGCAGGCTTTCTCTAGTGGTATGCAGAGGAATCACTGAATTAAATATAAATTAGGCCGCGTGTCCAGCAAAGCATTTTTTCCCGAGGCTAGCAAATTTGTTCAATTGTTTTAAATGGGAGTGCCGCGTTTTTTTAAAATGCCAGGAGCGTGCCGAGCGCTGAATGTCTTTTTTACGCTGAGTGCTTTTTTTTTCTCTGCACTGTGAGTTGAAGAATGTTCAACTTTGGGTAAAATGCAGCGCTCATCACTGTTGCTCAATCACAGTGGAGGAGGGTCGGGACTAATATGACCAACCGTCACACCCTGCTTGTACTATGACTGAACAACAATAGAGAATTTAATATTTTTTGTCTCCGTATATTTATGTCCTTACCAGATGGAATTGCCGGACTACCATAATATTATGAAAAATAATGCTTAGAAAAACATTTAATTTTATTTACCTGGATGTAAGCACAGTGCAGTGTTAATGTTCAAACTGTATTTACAATGTTTAAAGTGGCTGACAATAATAAATATTCTTATTAGGAATAAAACTGCCCCATTTTTTTTAACTGCATAACTGTAGCTGAATAGTAAGGCCTACTACACTACTGTATTTTAATGTTGGTCATTATGGTGGTACTTGGAGAGCCAAATATTTTCTGAGGTGGTACTTGGTGTAAAAAGTTTGAGAACCGCTGTGTTAAGATGTACAGAGACTTTCTCTCTTAAACATACACGCACTTACTCGATACATATTCCAGCTGGTCTAGTTTGTGACTGAATGATTAACTTCAAATGCTGATTTATATACACAACAATCCATATGTTAATGACTGAGTTTTACTGGCCTAAAGGTTTTTTTTTTTCTTTCCATACAATTCTCAGGAAAATTCCCAGAATGCCCCACTTGTGCATGCTACATTAGAGACTCTGCTGAGGTTTCTCAACTGGATTCCCTTGGGCTATATCTTTGAAACTAAACTCATCAGTAATCTGGTGTACAAGGTAATGTATCTTGAGATTTTCTTACTCTTAGAGACTTTGTGGAAAACCTACGAATATAGTAGAATGCTTTTGCTTTTTGTTTCAGACAGTAGTGTAATAAATGGATTTATACAATGAAATAGTACGGTTACATAGTTGTGCAATAACAACTGCAAAGATTTTATTTCACACTTACAAAGCAGTGGCTAATTGTTGGCCCCTCTCCTCTGTTGGATTGATCTGTAGTTTTTGAATGTGCCGATGTTTCGCAACGTGACGCTGAAGTGCTTGACTGAGATAGCAGGAGTCAGTGTCAGCCAGTACGAGGAGCAGTTCGTCAGTCTCTTCACTCTGACCATGATGCAGCTCAAACAGGTAGCCTCCTCTCTAGTGCAGATCAAAGTACAATTCCTATATACCAGTTGCTTTTGGGCCAGTCTGATGTTCTTTCTAATTTGTGTGTTGAAGATGCTTCCTTTGAACACCAACATTCGATTGGCGTATGCAAATGGTAAAGATGATGAGCAAAACTTCATTCAGAACCTCAGCCTGTTCCTCTGCACCTTCCTCAAAGAGCACGGACAGCTGATAGAAAAGAGACTGAACCTCAGAGAGACGCTTATGGAGGTACACACACTCGCGGACTAAACTTCAGATAGTTATGGAGAATCAGCCTCAGTCATTGATGCTATTGTGTTAAGGCCCTGTTTGTTTCTCTGTTTAGGCTCTACATTACATGTTGCTAGTGTCAGAGGTGGAGGAGACAGAGATCTTTAAGATCTGTTTGGAGTACTGGAACCACCTAGCAGCTGAGCTTTACAGAGAGAGTCCTTTCTCAACATCCACTTCTCCTCTCCTCTCAGGGAGCCAACACTTCGATGTACCTCCCCGCAGACAACTCTACCTGCCTGTGCTGTCTAAGGTTGGCTCACAAACATAATACTCAAGAAGAAATTTCACCTGAGATGACAATTTAAGAACTATAAGGATGTTTGTGTTATTGACCTGCAGGTGCGTTTGTTGATGGTGAGCCGCATGGCCAAGCCAGAGGAAGTGCTGGTGGTGGAGAATGATCAGGGTGAGGTGGTTCGAGAGTTCATGAAGGATACAGACTCCATTAACCTCTACAAGAACATGAGGGAGACTCTTGGTGAGAGCTCTGCTCCTTTATATTATGAATGCAGAGGTTTTGGACACTAAACTGTGTTTATCATCATATTTCTCTCTTATTTTTTCTTTCTGCAGTCTATCTTACCCATCTGGACTATGCCGATACCGAGCGTATTATGACAGAAAAGCTTCATAATCAGGTGAACGGTACTGAGTGGTCCTGGAAGAACCTGAACACATTGTGCTGGGCCATTGGTTCCATCAGTGGAGCCATGCATGAAGAGGATGAGAAGCGGTTCCTTGTCACTGTCATTAAGGTGCAAAAATCTTACAATGCAAAGATGCAAAGTCTTATAATGTAATATTAGAACTATAATAATGTGTCCATGTGATCTACAGGACCTGTTGGGTCTGTGTGAGCAGAAGAGAGGAAAGGATAACAAGGCCATCATTGCCTCCAACATCATGTACATAGTGGGCCAGTATCCACGGTTCCTACGTGCACACTGGAAATTCCTGAAGACTGTTGTCAACAAATTGTTTGAGTTCATGCATGGTGAGTCACAAAGTCTTTGAGCCTTAGAATAGAATCAGGGATTTGCATCTGTATACAGCTGTGATATCTTTGGATCGATCTTTAAATAGAAGCAGATTTGATGTCACATTTGATTACACACAGACAGCAGTGCTGCATTTTAGTCATTTATGGAGCAGCTCGGTTATAATATATACATTTGAGCTTCTAATTTTAGCTTGATTATAAAAGAACTGATGTAATCATGTTCTCTTAGAAGTATTTTACTGTTCTTTCTTCGTAGAAACCCATGATGGAGTGCAAGACATGGCGTGTGACACATTCATTAAGATTGCTCAGAAGTGCAGGAGGCATTTTGTGCAGGTGCAGGTGGGAGAGGTGATGCCCTTCATTGATGAGATCCTCAACAACATCAACACCATCATCTGTGACCTCCAGCCCCAGCAGGTACCAAATAACCCCATCCATCTCAGTTAGCCTGCTCCGTGTGTCATTGTGACACATTGTGCTTTAGAAATATATATTTTGAGGAGATTTTGCAGTGACCATTTGTGTGCTTTCTCAGGTGCATACATTTTACGAAGCTGTCGGCTATATGATTGGAGCGCAGACCGACCAGGCTGTACAGGAGCACCTGATAGAGAAGTACATGTTGTTGCCTAACCAGGTGTGGGACAGCATCATTCAGCAGGCCACCAAGGTGTGTTGTTTATTTATTTAGAAACGGCAAATTTTGTTCATTAAAACTTTAACCCATTTTTAAGACTTCCTTAAATGGATGCTTTTATCCTGCTGTAGAATGTGGACATCCTGAAGGACCCGGAGACAGTGAAGCAGTTGGGCAGCATCCTGAAGACCAACGTCAGAGCATGTAAAGCCGTGGGACACCCTTTTGTTATTCAGCTGGGCCGGATCTACCTGGACATGCTAAATGTATACAAGTGCCTCAGTGAAAACATCTCTGCTGCCATCCAAACTAATGGTGCGTGTTTTTCTTTAGGCAATGAAGTCACTCTCTGTATGTTTCAGAGTTTATCATCACAGATGGGCATATGTTTTAAACAAATAGTTTAATTCCAGAATTACCTTATGCATGTGTATATTAGGTATGTATTTGCATCTCTGTTGGTTTTGTCAGAGTGACAAATCCGCATTAAACTGAAGTGAGTTTGATTACACAAACTCACTCAGCTGGAAGACAAAAGACTGCTGTAGAGCTTAGCGCCATGTGCGTATGTGAACAGCAGTCCATTACAGGACTGCCTGGGCAGCTATATATAACACTGCATCTAGAACAGAATGAGTGACGTTTAACTAAATAGTTGCCCAAAGAAAATTACTAATGAGAAAGTCTGACTTTCTCTGAACACGTCAATGTATTGCTTAAACATTATATAATTGACTGCACTCAAGAACTGTCAAGTCTGTTTATTTGATTTGTGGTTGTCTGTTTTATATAGGTGAGATGGTGACAAAGCAGCCTCTCATCAGGAGCATGCGCACAGTAAAGAGAGAGACTCTAAAGCTGATCTCAGGCTGGGTCAGCCGCTCCAATGACCCACAGATGGTGAGACACAAATCACAGATTTATTAAAGCAAAGTCTCTGTACTTAAAGTACAAAAGAAAATCAAGCTGTTAAATGTGTAGTTGACATTAAATACTTTTGAGAAGTTGACATCTTGCAATATTGCATGGTGCTTAATTTTAAACCGCATTCGCATACATTTTTAAATAACCTTAATATTTTTAACAGCATTTAGTATTTTTTACATTATTTAAAAAATGTATTTTACAATTATTACAATTTAAAACTTGTGCATACAGCATATTTTTACTTTTAAATCTTTGTCACAGAACATCTAAAGTTAACTAGTGACAGCAAGAAAAATTGATTAGAAATTGTGACAGGATAAGTAACAGGATCCAAAATATTCACTTATACATTGCTTATACATTCATCTAATTCTGAAACTGAAATCTCGATTTTGAGACATTATGCAACAACTACCCACAAGCAACTCATTACATCTCATCTGGGAAGCAAGTGCAGCTCAAGGCTTTCGGGTTTCAAGTCTTTGTGTTTGTTAGATCCAGTATTTGTGTCTCTGTGCAGATAATTCTGTTATACCTGCTTCAGATCTGTCAGTCTGGACCTGTTCAGTTTAGTGCTGTCTTTACACAACACACACTTATCCACTCATCCTTTAAGCCTGTCTGCCCATGTGTGTGTATTTTGTTCGTACTCCAGGTGGGGGAGAACTTTGTTCCTCCGCTGTTGGATGCTGTGCTCATTGATTACCAGCGCAATGTCCCAGCGGCAAGAGAACCCGAAGTGCTTAGTACCATGGCAACAATCGTAAACAAACTGGGTGGACACATTACTGGAGAGATCCCACAGATATTTGATGCAGTGTTTGAGTGCACATTAAACATGATCAACAAAGTAAGCTGCCCTTATCTGTCAACATTCTGTGATACATTTTTAATATTCCATTGTCATTTATTATTAAAACCAGATTCTGTGTGTTTGTTCTAACGAAGAGTCTTTTGAAATGTTTAATAAGTTTTTTTTTTTTTTAAGGATTTTGAAGAGTACCCAGAACACCGGACACATTTCTTCTACCTGCTGCAGGCGGTGAACTCTCACTGTTTCCCAGCATTCTTGGCAATCCCACCAGCCCAGTTTAAGCTTGTGCTTGACTCTATTATATGGGCTTTTAAACACACTATGAGAAATGTGGCAGACACCGGTGAGAACACAAATGCATTTATCGCAACGATATTTACCCTAATCATTTATCAAAACATGCATACAACAACTACCATGAAAAATGTCATGCAGGCCTTCAGATTCTCTACACGCTGCTGCAAAACGTGGCTCAGGAAGAAGCGGCAGCGCAGAGCTTCTATCAGACATACTTCTGTGACATCCTACAACACATCTTTTCTGTCGTCACGGATACATCACATACTGCTGGTCAGTTCTGGCCACCCTCTTCTCTCTCTTGCTCTTAAAGACTCTTTTTGGTTTTTTTTTGGTTTTTTTCTGAACACTGTGTAACCATGTAGTAATCGTGAGAAATAAGAATTTATTTTGATAAATTATTTTAAATTAATTGTAATTTCTAAAACAAATTTTTATAGTTTTATTGTAATATATTAAAAATTTTTGTTACACTTTATTTTAAACTGTCCTTGTTACAGTGTAATTATGCATTTCAGTACTTGCATGTAATTATGCATAATTAATTGTTATTATAATAGTAAGTACATGTAACATCTGTAACAAGGACACCTTAAAATAGTGTTACCTAATTTTTTTATAACATTAAAATCCATTTATTTGTTTGTGACTTTATTGAATATCATTAAATTTGTAAATGCGTCTTTTCCTGTTTGTTCAACCTCTTCATATTTTGCATCTGCATATTTTTCTTGCAGGTTTGACTATGCATGCTTCTATTCTGGCGTACATGTTTAACCTTGTTGAGGAAGGAAAAATCAGTGCAGCTCTAAACCCCTCAAGCCCAGTCAACAACCAAGTGTTTATTCAGGAGTATGTGGCCAACTTGCTCAAATCAGCTTTTCCACACTTACAAGAGTGAGTATGCCACAGTGCACCTAAACCAATTCTTTACAAGAGCTAGTGCATTCCAGAGACTGCATCTGTCCAGTCTTTGAGCTTTGGAGATACATGAATACATGAAAATGTCACAATCACATCGGCTTTATATCTTTAATATAAACGTCACTTTTATGGTTTGATATTTTGTTGTATAATTTAATAACAAGTGTAACTTACACTTTCCAAGAACACTGGGAGCTTTGTATGTTCTTGTATGTTTTAACACAAGGACTTTTATTTTTACTTTTTATTTTATTTAAGAACATGCAGGTCAAGAACATGTCTCAAGTGCCTATAAAAACACCAATTGCAGTTGGTGTGATGATTATTGCATTCGGTTGAGTATTACACAACATATCTCTTCGGTATAAGCTTGTTCTCTCAGTAGACATCTTGCTCTCAGATTAATTAAAAAGGTTTTTGTTCCACAGTGATAGTCTTTTTAGTTAGGACTGTTTATGTCTGGTTTTATTAATGTTTCCTGTCTGACTATGTTTGTTCTCTTTCTCTTTGTAGTGCCCAGGTCAAAGTATTTGTGACTGGCCTGTTCAGTTTAAACCAAGACATCCCAGCATTCAAAGAACACTTGAGGGATTTTCTTGTACAGATCAAGGTGAGCTGCAAGCCGTCTGTCCTACTATGACAAGGACACCGAGAGCCATAATAATAGTTAATAGTATAATAACGGAACAAAATGTTGTCTTTGCCATATGCAAATATTTTGATATCAGTAGTAATAGTGTTTATGCAGTTGAGAGTGTGTACATAGAGGAAATAGAGAATGTGTGAGCGAGAGTGTGTGCTGTCTCTTTGACCTTTAAGGGATTGTGAAATATGGTGTAACTGTATGGGTCATCTGCATTGTACGAGAACAGAAGGTGTGTGTGTGAGATGGAGAGAGAGTGATTATAGCATTAGATTATGGCAGAGATGACAGTGCCCTGGCAGAGCGGTCAGTGCAAGCAGAACGCACAAATGCTCACACGTTTCTCATGTGTACCTGTAGGAATTTGCGGGTGAGGACACCTCTGATCTATTCCTGGAGGAGAGAGAGGCGTCGCTGCGTCAGGCCCAGGAAGAGAAACACAAGCTGCAGATGTCCGTTCCTGGCATCCTCAACCCTCACGAAATACCCGAGGAGATGTGCGACTGAATTCGCATGCAAACTCACAGCACACACACTGCACTGACTCCTAAACAAACTAAACACACGACTAAAGCGGTGTTGTGGATGCTCTTCTGTGGGTTTTCTCTTAAGTGTGTGTGTGAGTACTTTAGGCTCTTCCTGCAAGGAGGCAATTTCCGCACTTGGCTGTCTCTTGACCAAAACAATGCCAATATGTAAAAGATACTGTCACCCAGTGGCCCTATTTGCATCGTACGCGTTTCATACAGACACTTTTACGTATTACCTTTCCATTGTTAACTGCTTACGTTTGGTCACTGTAATCCGAACGTGCATGAAGTGTCACATCTGTACAATTAACTCACTTGTGCTCGCTTTTTTTTTTTTTCCGTTGCACCTCTCCCCTTCTATTTCCTCGTCTCCTTCCACACATCATGTATTTGTTCATGTATATTATATTTAAAGACCAGAGTGCAGTTTGTGTTTGCAGAGAGCTGTATGTGTTTTGGCAGTGGGTAGATGGTATCTAGTGTCAGTGTGTGGGCCAATGAGCGACGCATCTGGTCCAGCCAATGAGAATGTCAACGAATGTCTGTTGGGTGAGGAGCCAGAAGTGGTTCGTGACTAAGGTAGCTCTCAGCAGAATGTGAAGCGGATCGCTGAGTTGAACGGTCTGATCGATGGTGCTGTGGTTGTGAGTGGTGTTTCGAAACAAAACTCCATTTACTTTTTCTACACAGGAGTGTGTTCAGCAGCCCCTCTACATGTTCATATCAGCATCACTGTACAGCATCTTTACTACCATGGGAACATGCGGATATTTCGTCCTGTTTTGTTGTGTGCGTGTGTTGTCGCTAAGCCGACATCAGGTTTTTTGTTTTCCTCAATGAGGATGGTTGCTCCTTTTGTGAGCTTTCATTAAATTGAAGTTAAAAAAAAAAGTGGTTGAAATATTTATGGGTTCTTGTAGGCTACACCTTTATAACTGCTCATGTTAACTCACTCGGAGACTGCTTTGGAGTTTTCGAATTGTACTAATTTACGTTGTTTACCATGCAGTAGTGCTGCAGGACACTACTTAGAGCAAAATAAATCTGTTTACATTTAATTTAGTATTTTTGCATTTTTCATTTTTATCTTTTAAGTCCTGTCCAAATAAAATGCAAGAGTTTAATTCTGAGAAAAATAAACATAAATGCCAACATTCTCATTAGGAAGAAGAATGTACCAATTCAAATACTGATTATCGATGGTGAATTTCCCCTTTACTATGTGTTGCATTTGTTGTGAAACTTTTTGAACTGATTAAAGTTGGAAGAATTTTTATAATTCTGTCTGATTTCTCTTTGGGGTTTTTTTCCCTTCTTTTGGGTAAATTCATAATTGGAGATTAGAAGTACAGGGATAGTTCATCCAAAAATGACATTTGTCATTTACTCACCCTCATTTGTACTTTCTTCTGTGGAAGACACAAAAATATATTTTTGTCTATACAATTAAAGCCAGTTGGGTTTTCGTTTGGACCATGGCACTCATGGTCATGGTTTTCATAAAATGTTGTTTTATTATTATTATTTTATGCTATTGTGATAATATTTTGAATGAGCTTTTTTATATTTGAATTGTAGTAATTTTTCTTGTATTTTTATATACCTTTTTTATATCACATTTAGTCATTTTAGTGTTTTCAGTGTATTTCAATTACCAGGTTTTTTTATAGTATTAGATAATAACACTGTTACTCAAAAGAAAGTCATCTGGGTTTGGAATGACATGAGGGTGAGTAAATTATGACAGAATTGTAATGTTTGAGTGAACTATCCCTTAAGGCCTAACACTACATTAGGTTGGTAAAGAAAATATTGTATACCGCATCAGCTCAGAAACAAGCAGCTGGAATCAAACTAGCTGATCATCACAAACCCTGCCCTAATGCTTCTCCAAGGCCGTGGTTAAAGCTAAACCCGTCATCCACTGAGCTCTAACAGTATCCTGCTGTTTGAATAGATCTGTGAGAGGGATGTGACTGGCATGGAAGGGCAGTGCTGAGTTACTCCTCTGGTGCATTTTCCTCGAATAGTTCTACTCTAATATGCACATCCCAAGAAATGCATCTCCTTTTGTGTTCTCGCGAGTGATCCATATGCAGATGCAGGCCTCATCTGACATGCCTTGACAGTTGGTTGTTTTTGGCAGTGCCACATCCAGCACAGCTCTGGAGATATGAGTCAACAAAGTCTCTGGAATTCCCAGGGAACGTGTTTGGGTCTAGTACTTTAAGAAAACACCCAAGTGAAGTTCTGAAACCCTCCGGATTCCGCTGAAGTTGTAGAACTCTGAAAATTCTATAACTTTGGGTTGGAAGTTTTAAACTCTATTTCCTGTGAGCTTGTGTGACAAGTTAGTTGCCAGCAGTAAAATTCATTCCTCTGGAAAGATGAGCTCTCTCTCCCCTGACCCACTTTGCAACTGGAATCCGGTCCGGTGGGTTCCAGTAGAACCTCTTCCAGAAATGCCGTTCAGGGGTCAATCCAGTCCACCCCCCTACTCATTTAAACTGGTAGTTCAGTGTTAAACAAAACCGGTTTAGCATTTTACTTCTGAAAGTATGCATTTTTAGAATTTGAAATACGTGAAGTGTTTTTTGTATATACAGTCTTGAGTTTTGATGTCCATTAAAAATACTAATAAAAAATACATGTTATTGACATCTGCAGCACTATATTCATTGAGTGAGATTTTTTTTAATAGTCCAGAGAAAAGGGCATGTTTTACATAATCTAATTTACATGAACGTTATACAATTATACAAAAGAAAAGAGATAAATGATTCTTCCTTCGTAATGTCACAACATGAGAAAAAAGCCTGTATTGGCTCTTGTTCATAGCGTTGTAAAGCCTATACTGCCATCTATAGGTGTGATTTGCACTCTTTAGTGCGTGAGTTGCATGTAAAGCAGTGGTATTCAACCTTTTTGATTCCAAGGCCAAGGCGCCACTGTCTAGTAACAACACAATAATTATATTTCAGAATTCCAGAAGTTTTAAGAGTCGAATGTACTTTAGAGTTCCCACTCTTTTTAACCAACGAATTTACATATTTTTCATGATTTAATGAATCATGAATATGGATTAAGGATAAGGATTTATTTATTTTACTTGCAAATTCTTATCTGATAAAATATTTTAGAGCTTGTAATAACTAGAAAAATGTATATTCATGATAACAATGCCAATAGAGTTTTAAGATTGTATTCATTTACACAAAGTTTGCTATTTTTATTATTTTTAGTTAGTTATAGTTTATTTCAATGCTTGTTTTGTCTAATTTTAAATTATTTTAAGAACCACTGAATAAAGGATATGAATTTTTATATTTTTTCCACCTGAAGTAGACGTATATTGGATTATACTTATATCCAATAATAATGATAATACCTTTATAAAATTGTAACAGATCTATGTTTTTACCCATTGCAGCTAGCTCTAGAAAAAGGATAAATGTCAGGTGAAGTGACAGATAAACTAGACTATAAGACACAGAGATACAGAGCATCAGGAATCTCTGCCCTTTGACACTGACACAGCTGGCAATGGCAGCACTAAGCTGTGTCCCATCATTCCTCTCTCTCCCTCTTTGTTTCACACAATCCCTGGTACATACTGTATGTAAAGGCTCAAATTGTGCAATATTTCTGACAGTGTATTGACCCATTGGATATGTGTCCCATTTTATGATGCACACATTCCTCCTCCAAGCACCTTGTAAAGGAGTAAAGGACACTGCTGGAGGAGAGGTACAGTGGGTCAAGAGGAACAGCCATAAGTTGTCACACACAAGCATTCCAGACTGGTGCTTCGGCAACGTCTGGGTGTAAAAGAGTGTGGAATGGTTGAAAATACAATCCTGTGTTGATATATAAGTATGACAATGAGAATTATTGAAAAAGCAAAGCTTATTTAAAACTCAAAAGCCTGCAAAACTGCAAACAACATACTAGGCAGATTATTCCTAACATCTTAAACCACCCTAAGATGCTTTTCTGGTTTTAGCTCTTCTTTTTGCTGGTTTTATAAGGGTTCTTGGACTGCTTTCAGATGAGCTGGCTCGGAAAACAGTTTGTGAGACCATCTTAATGGTTGAAGAGGGAGTTTCGACAGCCAGCAAACTCACTCTGGTAAGATGATAGCATAGGAGACTCCTTTTGGCATAAATGAAATATTAGGTATTTTCTGTGTGAAGTACACATTCTTGGCATACTTGTGGTGAGCACCATATTTGTGAATTAATAAAGATTTATGAAACTCACATGATTTTTTGCTTTTTGTTAGGTGGATCTGGCAAGCTCAGAAATGGTAAGAAGTTTATATGTTACTCCTAATTGTTTCTGTGTCAGATCTATTATAATATTAAAATATTGTTTTTCTAAAATAATGACCACTATTTTAACCAAGGCACTATTTTTCAAGTTTTAGAAGGTTTTACTTTTTATGCTTACCTAAAGAAAAACTTACCGCCAGTCGGCGGTGACAATAGTCTTTATGAATGAGTCATTAAAGTATTGAATCAGTCGATTCGTTCAAACACTGATTCATTCAAAAATGTGTGTGTTGCTCAGAGAGGCACAACAGACGTTGCTGCGTGTGTAACTGTTTTTGTTGTCGGAGCTAAATGTAAGTTTGTTCAATACAAAACAGTTTGTTCAATATTAACTGAAACGAAAACCTGTTGTAATTGTGTTGTTTTTCTGAATATCAGTGCTGACAAACAGTCGTTTTCAAGAACATTTGATAAAACATTCCAGTGTTGTCATATATAGGCTATTTTAAATACACAGGTTTGGGTTACAAATAATAGAGTTTCAGTTTTAATGTTCACTCTTCTTTTTTCTCTCCCACTGTTGCATCAGTGTCGCAGTTCTGTGGTTCCTGACGTGAGGAGAACTTTAAATGCAACATGAAAATCTGCAAGAGACCACGATGCTGAAACGCTATGCTACGAAATGTTAGTAATACCTCAAACATGTCAGCAAAAAAGAGCATGTTCTATCTATTATCACTGTTGTCCCGGTCAGACTAAGGGCATTTTTGAAGAGCAGAGTTTGTTTTGAGTACCTCAAGACGTACTCCTGTGACTATTTATCAGTCTAAGGGCCCTATCTTAATCATATCAATGTTTTGGCTGCATATGCAGGAAATTAGACAGGAAATGATCTGTAGGGTTACATAGTTTTCCATTTAGGGAAGGGAAGATGTCATGTCACATTAAATTGTGAGAGATTTTAAAGTATATGATACTATAAAAAGTATTATATTATATATTACTGTTAAAAGTATTACTATATAAAATATTAAAATGCAAAATACAGAAAATCACAATCCTTTCCTTCTTTTTTAGGTGATTTTGCCCTCAGCTCTGCGGGATCCCAGCATGTGCCATACAGAGAATCCAAACTAACCCGAGCACTTAGGGACTGGTGAGCATCATCAACATCAGCATCATTATTTCTCTACTTTCTTCAACATCTGTGTAAATTCGTTGGCTGTTTCTGAGTTTGATGTTTATTTTGATATCTGGTTTGGTTTAGGAGGGAACTGCCGGACGTGTTTAGTGGTCACGGTGTCATCTCAAGCATCTTCAATATCTGAAACTCTCAGCTCTCTACAGTTTGCCTCCAGAGCCATGGCTGTTCCTTCACGACCCATATACACATCTCCGTTACATTACACACTTGAACAGGTATACACACTCTTCAACAGGAACATTTTCATTCTGAAAACACATACTTTCAGAATATATAGAATATGCATCACACTTCAACAAATGTGCATACAGTCTTCACAGATAGATCACATTATGAATGGAGAGAGATAGGTGACCATTGACACTCCTAATTGAGATTGTAGAGTGTCAGTGGTCCATTTGAGAGATAGGTGGCGGTAATGCACTTATAAGTCTGCGATCTGCCATAAAGCAAGAAGAAGAAGAAGATGCTTCATGCGCCGGCTGAAGAAGAAGACGCGAACGCACTCAGGACAGTTCGGACATTGCGTGAATAAGAGGTAAAAAACGATATAAATACTGTTCAGTTTCTTGCACAGACCGATCGTTTCGTGTCTTTACACATCAATGTATTGTCACGAGCCGCAGGGTTTAATTTGGTTTTGTGTATGTTTTTTTTACTCTCAAAGCCGTGATTCCCGTTCACTTACATTATATGACTGACAGACTGCAACGGTTTGAGTTAAAAATCTTCGTTTGTGTTCTACTGAAGAAACAAAGTCAACTACATCTTGGATGCCCTGGGGGTAA